AGTCGGTTAACTAAAATGAAATATTCTTAGTTCAAGAAATGTTTAATATGTGATGTGATATAACGTATACTATACTTTTGAAATACTGAACACTATAAGATAGCTTGGTATTGTTGTGATATAGGTAAAAAAAGCAATAGATGGATAGAAAGTATCTAGTTTTATTTAAGTTTAATTAGATACAGAATATTTACAGAATGCATATCAGATAACAGAATACTTATTCAGAGTCAGAAGTAGACATTTTACTGTCACTACCATCAAGCTGAGCTTCGCGAATTCTCAAATTGCCACACAATTGGCCGCCTTCGCACGCGCATAATTCTTTACAAAGCAAACCTACATGTGCACAACTGCACCTTGCTGTTGAACATAGCTCCTCACTTGAACAGTTACATTTTAAAATTTTCAGCAATTCTGGTGATTTCAAAAATAAATGGATAAACAATCGTACGGCTTGACTGGCTAAACTTGTGCGAAAATTTGAGGCCAATATTCTACGTATAGTTGTGCAACGGAACAGCCTAACGCCTGCGCAGTGTCTTATCTTCCGAACAACTGTTCTAAATTTTGAAATACCCTTTATTTTCATTGACAATATTTTGCGCACGGACAGTACATGCATCTACTGCGCACGCTCACAGCTGTCCCAGTTGTTTACATTAGGACCTCGTAAATTAGCAGCATTAGAAGCGTTCTTTATTTATCCATATAGGTATTTTTGAAATCAGTGGTGCCAACCCTTTGTTACTTGGAAGTTGTATGGGTACCAAAGAGTGTGCTGCTTCATTCTTTGCACATCCATAGTCAGTTGGATTCAAAGGTGGAGGGAACGGAGATGCTGTTGCGTTCCAAATGCAAGCTTGCAAATGGCATCGTTTTATATGTAGTTCAAATACCTCTGTTGTCGGAAGGAGTTTCTTAATTTTAGGAGGAATTTTCTTAGATAACCACACTTTGTATCAAACATCTGACATGTTGTGAACTTCTTTCTTGTAGCCGTTGCAATGTGCTTGTACACTCTGCTATACATTGTTGCATTGAAGCTTCTACAAAACCTAAATGTTTAATTTCAATACTAGATCTCAGAACTTGTACCTACAGCTTTAAACTTTCCAATTCCAAAAAATTGTGACGTGCCATCACAGCCAGTGAGACAATGCATTGCTAAAAATGAGTTTGTTGTTTGTTGCTGCTATATCTGAGAACTTGGCCTTGTCAGCAGACTCCATCCACATAGCGCATTTAAGATTTAGCTTTCTGTAAAAGTGTACAAGCAGAACAAAAACATTGGTGCCATCAGATAGAATATTGACATTGTTCGTTGCACACCTTGACAGACGAATAACCTGCTGTACAATTATAACGTCTGCTTCTTCATGGTGAGTTTCCAAATCCGACCGAGGAATTACAACGCCAGGAGTTTGTAATTCAATTGGGATTGTATCAGTATCAGTAATGACCAGCTTGTGTGGAAGAAACTCACTATGTACTAGTTGATTACAAATTATGGTTGTCAGTTGTCAGGCATTCACAAATCGTCATTAATTTCCTAAAGTGGCGTATCTCAAATAAAACCCTGATTTGAGATACGTCACTTTGTGTGTCAAGCCGTTAAGGGCGGTAAAGGCACTTTCCGCATGTGTTAGGTACAAAATTTTACCTATGAGCATCTACATCTCTAAAAAAAGGCATTGATAAAATTAATTATTGAATCAGATTAATTAATGAAACTAAATTAGATATAGAAAGTCATACTTTCCATTTGCAAATACGTTGCAAATACGTGCGGTAAAGTGCACTTTACCGCACGCTCGTAGGTAAAATATGTTACAGTAGAGAGTAAAAAAAAAAGATTATATGGGAACAGGGTAAAAAATTGATCAATTTTCTATGGCCACCGTTTTACATGATAACTTACACATACGGTTCCCAAGGAAACATTTACAATAAATGGCATTATTAGAAGTCAATTTAAGTAATAAAAGTAAAATATCTTAGATTATATATAGTTAGCACTAAAAGATAAGTAATCAACCCTCAAATATGGTACAAAGATCTCTCTCCAAATATTTTGATTTTGTCTCTCTTACTTTGTTTACGCTGGTTTTCTATAGTACGATTTCCAAAAATCCGTTTAGATTTTGGATAATTAGACATCTCTCTCTAGGCAATATGTAAACGAAAAAAACACTATACAAGTCTAGCTAAACATAGTATATTGTTTGGGTGGTTCCCAATAGAAACCGATTGCCGTATCAGCGTAAATGTCAATATTCATATTGTTGCATATGTTGTGTGTTTATTTTATCGATTTTTTTGGGTGTTTCACTGCTTTAAAGTGGAATTGCTTAAAAACTTATTAATTACATTTTTATACATTTCGTGAAAGTTTCTTATTCAGGATTCAAAATGACTAATAAGTGTGTAGTGTGTCAGAAAAGAGGAAAACCAGGGGATTGTTTATCATTTCACCAGTTAGTAAAGAAAACTTATGACATCGACATGATTGAAGGAAAAAAAAAGCAGTGACGGAGGTGCATGTAGGCCACAAAAATACAACATGGTACATATTTTGATATTTCTATTAAACATTATTTTTTAGTATTCTGAATAATTTATGATATGAAAAAAACATGGTTAGGAGCATTAAATTTAAAATCCAGCTCAGTAAGCAAATGGAAGTATGTTTGTGCAGACCATTTTAGCAGTGGAGACTACAGATTTTCAAAAGCTGGTGCTGAAATTTTAAAAGCCTCTGCTGTTCCTGTTGTTACAAGCACCAGCGCTTCTCGAGTACTGTCCAGGTTAAGGGGCACTTGTCGAGGTACTCGTTTATAGGTTTATGTGAAAAAATCATTAATTTTGATTTTTGAAGAATCTATATTCGTGATTTGTTTGGACTCCTCATTTAGGAATTAAACGTACTGGAATTATCTTCATTAATGGTGGTATGTCCACCATTCAATTGAATAAAACTAAAAGTTTGCCAACTTTCAAATAGGGATGAAGTTCGGCTCAATTTGGAACTTGTTGGGAGCAAGAAATTAATTTTCATTTGGATTAATTCATCAACAAATTGTTACAAATGTATAAAATGTCAACAAATGAACCAAATTATTGGTTGGCCAAGTAGTTGTTTGGTTTGCCTCTTTTTTGACTACTAAACAGTGGTTAGTACTAAGTTTGAATCATACATGGCGTCCTTAATGGTGACAATATCAATATCATTCTGATGCTATAATCAACTTTAAAAATATAGGTACCATCGTCACCAAAAGTATCTGGGACAGCATCACATTAGCTCTTGTCCTATTATATGAATTTTATTGTCAAATATTTGTCAAACTATGAATTAAATGCATTGAAATGAATGAAAGTAGAATTAGTCCAGGAGATTATTATGCATTATTTGTGTCCCAGATACTTATGGTGACGATGGTACTCATACTCATAGAACTTTTTGTAAGTATTTAATATTCACTTGAAAGTTCAGTGCATTTATATTTTCAGTATTTGCATTATTGATCAGTTTGCTTTAAGTATATTTTTGTTATCAGTAGGTACCTCAACTCTTGTAATATTATTAGGTATTAATATTCTGAATAAACATTGTTTTTTTTTGGCATTGTTGTTAAATTATTACAAAGCTACCCTTTTTTGATACAAATCCCCAAAAAATGAAGAAAATAAAAATCTAACGAAATATTAGGTCTGTTTCTGCAGAAATCACAACCAAGTCTTGGATAACAGCCAAACGTCATTATTCATTCATAGATTCAAGGTAGGAACTGACATTCAAAAGAAACACTAACATTTCGCAGTCGCCATAATGTGAGCACCCAAAGTGAAATTAAATAGAATATTATTTATAAAATTATTATACATATAATAAAGGAAAAAGGTCATTCCAGATGCTACAGCTTTTCTCCGAGGCATACGGCATAATCCATATTTACTTTCGGTCACTTTCGTGTTTCCAATACGGCCACTATGTATATTAACAATACCATCAGGGTGGTCTTCAATGACCAAAAGCTTTATACATGCTCCAAGTTTTTTTCTTATTTTATGCCTATCCTCCTCATCAGATTTAATTCTTGCTGCATTTTCCTCTTTGTGAATCGTATGCACCTTCTTTGATCCTATTATTATCTTGTACATCTTTGTACAAATTTTCAAAAATTTTCTGCATACAGTTTTCCATATTATATAGATAGATTTGGTTCGTGGTGGGACCAGTGATGTGAGGATAAGGCCCACTTCTTCACCGTATTTGGTTTCAACGTTATTCCTTTTATTCCACCACGACTTTTACCAAAGCGCATAAATGTTGTTTCAATTAGCATGTCGGTCCATATGCCATTCCATATCCCGGAATTAGGACGGGTTACATGCTCACCGCTCAGAAACTTTTCACGAAGAACGGGATCCAGTTGTTCCATGCTTTGCAGATATGATTCATAACGAGCGTAGTTCCAATGCCCTGAAGCAAAAAAAAAGGTATCATTGCTTCAAGTGACCATGAATGCAAAGGTCAGTTACCTTCGCGTTCGGCTCGTATGAACATTAATATGATAAACAGTTGCTTTATTAGACAGTTTATCCAATGCTTTGCTATTCTACTCTTACTCGCTATATTTTCCAGGCCAGATAAAAAAAAAATTAATTAAAGAATCAAAGATACTTATATCTTCGTTAGAGAACAAAGGTGAAAGTAGTTCTTCCACTGTCATGCGTAATGCACGTGTGGAAACTTTTTTCCAGCCAACATAGCTCCAACACCAGCAAACGCATCTTGCAGCACATCTTCTAGGCCAGAACATGACATTAATGTCCCAATGCAGCCAACAAATGACGTAAGGGTGTGCATTCCTCCTAATCGTACATGGAGGTTTCTAAATTTTTCTGGATGAACCCATAACACTTCCACAGCTAAGCAATAAAGTTGTTGATCTGCCGTAAGCACCGTGAATTACTGCCCCATAGATTGTGTCAACCTTTGAGCTTCATATATGGTTCCATGATCCGCTGGCTTCATATCTAAGAGTGGTGAGTAAACTGTGTTAGTTCTTGAAGAGATATCCGTGTGTGATTCTTGAGCACACTTCGTCATGAAGCCACCATATTCCGGTGTGTTGCTAGGTTCTTCTGACATTTGTTTCAAAAAATTGAAATCATTAGCTCTAGCTCCTTCAAGTGACAACTGTCCGTGCCAAAACTGATAGTGGCTGAACAAACCGTTAAGCTGCACCGTCGGGCATGGGTGGTTTATTAATACTATGGTAATGCTGGATTTGTATGTCAGTTAGTTTGTGTTCAATAGTTTCGACCTTTTTCAACCGTTTAATGGCAACAGCAGATTCCACATTATGAGTATCTTTAAGACTGTTGTGATACTATCATAGCGACGAAGTGTGTTGATTTCAGTCCATTTGCTGAGGAGATCTGTATATCAAAATTGTCTACTACCGTTTGAATCAGATAATCGGGCTTCAAGCCATCTACTCCCTGTAGTTCGAAGTTTGCTGATTGTATGTTATGGCAAACTGTAGTTGCTACTGAGGATTGACAGAAACAGCATTAAGCTCAGATTTAATTGTAGAAGCAACTCTGAACATGTTGAAGTCATCATCCTCAGAATTTTCGAAATTAAGAATGTGCTGCTTCTTTACGGAAGCAAATGATACTAGCTATTCCTGATGAACTGAGAACCACAAGATCATCACTAAAATATAGTCTAAAAGATCTGGAATTAAAGTTCTACGGCTTCTTATACCACCATTACTCATGTACGTAGCATACAGTTCTACATACGACTACGATTACTGTTCATAGTGGAGATAACAACCGTAAAACCTTCATCTTCTTCACTTGAAATACCAACGACCCCTTTGTTCTGTGCGCTCTTAACATTTCGAACGGCCATGAATTTTGTATATAGCATGAGAGATGGTACCGTCCACCAGCTGCATGCAGATCACTCGTTGCTCCCATAACACGTACGCGAACTTCATCTCCGATTCATCAGTAAGTCGCCATTTTTTTTTATCCAATGTTTTGCACTCTCTGAAAGTCTTCCACCGTTCTGGGTGTTTAGGGTCCGGTGGCAGACATTCCTGCCCACAAAAGAAACAGTGCACAAGAAACTGGAAGAGCTCATAATATCATCTGGAACGCTTGGGTTTACTGCCGCTAGTTGCGTCAAACTGTTGCTCATCTTTTTTCTTTACTGAACGTTGGATATGTTGCTTGGATGTATAACTGCTTACACCACGCTCTCTACTACTCTCAGCAATTTTCTTTAGTCGATCTACTCCACCAGTCACTAGTGGATCAGTACGATTGCACTTGAAAAAGCAGCGCTTGGTATCTTCAGACCTACAAAAAAATAAATAACTTGATTTATTCACCTTGTGATAAACTGTCAGGTATGCAATCTGATAGATGAAAACGCAATCTGTGATCCCATTGGTCGGCATACCAGCAAGTTTATCTGAAGATGAATAAACCGTGCTTAAATAAAATAAAACATAATAAATATTTATAAAACTATAAATTAATAAGTATATAATTTTGGTTAGCCGACTCCCTTTCATTCGCAATAAAATGAGTGGTTCCTGTTATTTAGATCTCGTGAACTTTGACCTTCGATATTTCAAGTTGCTCAAGAGTGCCACTCTGGCACCCCTCATATTATAATTCAGTGTATCAAATAGTGCCAGAATCAATCATAAAACTTGAGCTGTAGGTACCCCACTTCAAGGTCACATGGCTCGGTGACCCGACTAAAAATTATGTAAAATAATAATTTTAAAAGTATTTTCTCCGTTTTTCATATGATGGAAAATTTCCACAATTTTTAAGTTCTGATGGTGCCTCAAGAAGGCCAAACATGTAATTTTTTTTTTTATTTTTTTTTTTTCAGGAATGTTGTCGTTTGTCCAAACTCTACTTAATTAAGTCCCTTGATGAGCGAATTTTTCGAATAATTTTGGTAAGTTCTTGTCGGTCGTTTTTTTTATCCTCCTCTATTATTTAATTGTTTGATATTAATAATTTTCTAATATATGCAATCACATACAGGGTGTCTTATTTAAAAAAAAAAACGACTTTTATATTGTCACGCCTAATTGAGCCACCCTATTTAGTTGAAAATATTTTTACTAAAATAGAGTCTCACGATCAGTATAGGTTGACATATGAGCGAAATTCCTAACCTTATTAGTTTATGACTTATAGACCGACGCGCACTTAGCTGCGGACTATGTGTGTATACAATAATGAAAATTGAATTGATTGCAGTAACCAGTCAGCATTTCCAACAAATTAAAGTCTGTTACTTTCGATTATAGTATTGCAGTGGCGGCTCGTGACAATCCAAACTGGTGAGGCCCATCTCATAGAAGCCCACCACAGGTGCCGCGAAAAATTTCGAGTTCACCCAAACAAAATTTTCGAGTGTCACGCCCAAATTTTGACCCAAAAATTCATTAAAAAAACACCTCGCATATTTTTTTTTGTATATTTCTAATAAAATTTTTCATTCTTTTGCAGTTGCAAAACAACAGCAATACATAATACTCAATTTAATACAAATAATAAGTTTCAAATTAACAAAATAAATTCTAAAAAACAGTTTTTTAACCCGCAACAGACAATAACAAAAGGTACGCGCCAATTTAATCACGCACTGGCATTTGCTACTTGTCGCAAAAGCAAGAGATGCAATGGTTTCTTATTAGTAAGCCCAAAATTGTGCGCCTCAATGCGTACAAAAATTCGCTATCGTCTCGCCTAGAGTTGAAGGGCGGGTGGTGGAGAGTACCATGGCATCACTTCGGCGTTCTGTGACGCACGTGAGGCTAACATTTTTGGGATTGCTATTTTAATTTTTATGCTATCCGGCAACGATTTGAGCGCCTATAAGGATAAATAGGCAGAAGGGCGCGCTAAATTCAAGAGATAGTAGTATTATACTCTAATGAAAATTCCATGTTTTGATACTTTTAATGATTGGAAATAGTTGAAAAACGGTAAATATTTAATAAATATTATTTCAAAATTTTACATCATTATTGTAATTTTTACATGTGAGGCCCGGCCTCAGTTGCTTTATACGACGAGCCGCCACTGTAGTATTGAATTAAATAATAACATACCAAATTCGAACCATCATGAAACAGTTTCAGTTACCTCTAATATACGACCGGAATATACCCATGCTGACTCTAGTTGTTCTAACATAATGCTATCTGTCCATGTCCGTCATGATTTTTATTAAGTAAACAATGGATTGAAAGATTTTCAGCTGTCATGAAACTCTTTCATTGCGATTAATTTTCAAAACATTCGAAGGTGCGTGGGCGTAGCTTGTCCCGCTACTTCACTTGCTGACTCGAGTATAGTTATATACATACAAGCTTACCTATATTAAATTATCAGCTTTCATGAAACTCTTGAACTTTTTTGACGCTGGCTCTCCGACTATTAGATTAAAGTTGATTAGATTAAAAAGTTTTTAGTTATAGCTTCCATGGAGGATAACCAAGTGGAGGTCGCATTGACCTATGAAAACTCTGAATTTACTACGTCTGCGTCTGAATGTTTATTGAGAGTTTTCTACCTGTTGTTTCATCCATCAACTCACCAGCACAACAACAAGCCAACAGAAATTCTCTGATAACCAACAGTCAGACATCGTTCCCAACGGAACGGTGAATGAAACAACATGCGTTATGCTTGTTGTACATGAAATTACTCAATAACTGGAGTGTAGTGTTGGAAACAATATTCCAACAATAAATTTGAAATTCAAATTTTAATTTTCCCGGTATGCACCGGAAGTGTGCGCGTATGTGTAAAACAGTGTCAAAAATCACTTGTCAAAGTGTTTGGTAAAGTGGCTTCCGGCATCTACGCGAGTGAACCAACGGGAAGAGTCAGTGTCGAATCGAAGCTCACTGGGCGCACCAGATAAATCTGGCCAGGTCCTATATGACCATTTTTACAGACTCTATATGTCTTAAATTAAACAAAAACGAGAAATTGTAAATTGTAAATAGTGTAAATAGTCGTGTGTGTAAATAAATGTAAATATCTAAATAATACAGTCCACTCTCATTATTTTAAAGAATCCAACATGTAGTACTTACTGTAGTGGATATCTTGGATATGCAAATCTAAAATCATTTGCGTGTACCTCAAATAATAAACCCTTTCATGGACGTGTAGTATAACATACACGGCTTAGTTCAGCAATATTGAACGGTTAGAATTTTTATTACCAAATCTTTTAGCAAATATTCTGAAAAACGAAATGAAAAACAAATAGGACCTGCGTTGTGGAAGCTTACTCAATTTTACTTACTTGACATGCGCCCGACAGCAAAATTAGGAAAATTTAAGGGAAGTTTTGATATGAACAATAAACGAAAATTTTTTGAAACGTCTACTTTATTAATAAAGTTAATCGTAACGTTCTCGACCTGAAACTAACGAGGGAAAAGAGCACGGCAGAGAAACCCTCGATCTAACATTCCTCAAAAATCAAAACATACTGTGTCATTTTAATAATTTTTAATTGTTATTCAATAATTTAAGTAAATAAAAGTTTATATTAGGTACCGCCCTTGTCCTTGTGCTAAAATTTTATTTCCACACACTACATTCAATCAACACTACCTATATTCAATACTGAAAAGTTTTTGTTAGTTAGCCAGTTTCACCAGCAGGTACTGAGGTCCGGTACGGGATGCGACTCAGCTATAGTTGTTATTTTGAGCCAATATCTCTTTGTTTTGTTTGCTAGGATATTCGCTCGTCAGGGTAGGAAAGTGTTAGTAGCTTCAACAAGGCCCCAATGCACGCTCTGAATACCAAAAATTAAAATCACAGCACAAAAGACAGCACATAATTTCTTAGGCTTTAATTTACTTTTTATCTGCATTGTTCACAGCATGAGACGATTTTTGTTAAATATATGAATAATGCACATGTTATAAACAAACAAAAAAACATAAAAATGAAAAAATAATACTTGCATAAATAGAACCCTCATAAACGAATTAAAATTTATTCAACTGACCTGTGAATGCTCCTTATGACACACAAACTAATCACAAATTGGGTTGAACAATCAGTTTAATACAAAATAAA